TATATAAAAATGTACATAACGATATACTTTTTTAACTCTATTATTATCCCGATATTCAATCTAAACGTTCATAACATATAGGTATATAAAAATATACATATCGATATTCCTTTTTTAACTCTTTTATTATCCTGATATTCAACCTAAATGTTTATAGTATTAGAGCAACATATAGGTGTATTAAAATATATATAACTTAATTCTTTTTTTTAACACTTTTATTATTCTGATATTCACACTTCAAGTTTATAGCATTAGAGCAACATATAGGTGTATTAAAATATACATAACTTTATTCTTTTTTTATTCTTTTATTATCCCGATATTCACCTTTCAAGTTCATAGCATTAGAGCAAGATAGAGGCATATAAAAATGTACATAACAATGTTCTTTTTTTAACTCTTTTATTATCTTGATATTCAATCTAAACGTTCATAGCATTAGAGCAACATATAGATGTATAAAAATGTACATATTGATATTCCTTTTTTAACTCTTTTATTATCCCAATATTCAAACTAAATGTTCGTAGTATTAGAGCAACATAAAGGTGTATAAAAATATACATAAAATATACATTTTTTAACTCTTTTATTATCCCGATATTCAACCTAAATGTTTATAGCATTAGAGCAACATATAGGTGTATAAAAATATACATAATGATATACTTTTTAACTCTTTTATTATCCTGATATTCACCCTTCAAGTTCATAGCATTAGAGCAACATATAGGTATATAAAAATGTAAATAAAAATATATATTTTTTCTTTTATTATCCTGATTTTTGGTACAGTATATATAGTTTTCATTTGCAAATGATAAAACATATTCATATACTTACATATCAGTATACAGTATATTTATATATATATATTATTTGCACTTTAATAATATGTATTAAAAAAAGTTTCAATAACCCGATATCAAAACAAGAAAAGAAAAAAGTTTTTTTTTTTTTTTTTTTTTTTTCTTTTACTTTTAGTTGTATTCATTTTCCTTATTTTTCTCACTTTCTTCTTCCAGAACTTCTATTTTTTCTGGTTTTAATAAACGTTGTAGGAAGTTTTGGTGTTTGCAAAAGTCTCTATAATTTTAATATCATTAGCGTTAGGATCTTGATAGTTAATATCAGATGTGCTAATATTGGACTCTTGATGACTAAGAACTCTAAAAGTTTCTTCTTTCGATATTAAAGAAGAATTCCTATAGAGTTCTAAACCAGAAAGAGTATATATAAATACTAAATAAAATTACTTTATATAGCTGGTATCTATTACTATTTTCTGATATATACCAACAATTTCCTTCTGCTTTCCTTTATCAACTTTGGCTCCTTCTTTGCCAACTTCTTTCTGCTTTCCTTTATCAACTTCAGCTCCTTCTTCGCCAACTTTCTTCTGCTTTCCTTTATCAACTTAGGCTCCTTCTTTGCCAACTTCCTTCTGTTTTCCTTTATCAACTTCGGCTCCTTCTTCACAAACTTCTTTCTGCTTTCCTTTATCAATTTCGGCTCCTTTTTCGCCAACTTCCTTCTGCTTTTCTTTATTAACTTCGGCTCCTTTTTCGCCAACTTCTTTCTGATTCCTTTATCAACTTCGGCTCCTTCTTCACCATCTTCCTTTTGCTTTCCTTTATCAATTTCGGCTCCTTCTTCGCCAACTTCCTTCTGCTTTCCTTTATCAACTTCGGCTCCTTCTTTACCAACTTTCTTCTGCTTTCCTTTATTAATTTCGGCTTCTTCTTTACCATTTTCTTCTGCATTCCGTTATCAACTTCAGCTTCTTCTTTGCCAACTTCCTTTTGCATTTCTTTATTAATTTCTGCTCCTTTTTCGCCAACTTCCTTTTGCTTTTCTTTATTACATTCTGCTCCTTCTTCACCAACTTCCTTTTGCTTTTCTTTATTAGTTTTTTTAATAATTTTATTAAATGTTGCAAAGATTGTTGGTTGGACAAGTGCTTTTTGTCAAATTCAAATTTAATATCTTAATATGATCTTTAACTGGATTATATTTAGAGATGACAACAGCTGGCTATTTTCAGCTTAGCCAGTCTGCTAAGCCAAAAATAGCTAGCCATTGTCATCTCTAATTATATCTAATTTCCCAATAGTCATTGCATTGACAGGCCATTTATCTATCATTACACAAGGTGATAATTTACTAATAATATATGTTAGATAAATGGCTTGTCAGTGAAATGACTATCAGGAAGATGAGAAACAATGCTATGCCTGTAGAAAAAGTAGTTCTAATTGGAACTCTTTTTGTTTGAGATTGCTTCAAAAAGTTACTGGGCCCAGCAATAGGCTTGTATTCTTCATCTGGCTCATCAGAATTATCTTTATTGGGGGTCATCAGGATCATCAGAGTTATTATTATTGCTATCAACACTGTCTATATTGGTATCAATATTGGTAGATTGGAATATAAGCCAGGCTGATGCATCAGGAGGTAGTGATAAAGTTCTATCTAATAAACCTGGAGCATTTCTCTAGTGATATCTTGTGCATTTTTTTTTTACAGACGAAAATTCTTCAGCCAACCACAAAATATCTTTCAACTGGATGTAAATTAAAAAAAAATTACTACCGTATTTTCGCGTAATAACGCGCAGGGGTGTAATTTCAAATTTTGGCCTAAATTAAACTTAATTCGGGCCAAAATTCGAAATAACGCTCATGGGCATTATTACGCGAAAATACGGTATTAAAAAAAAAGAAAATAATAATAATAATAATAATAATAATAATAATAATAATAATAATAATAATAATAATAATAATAATAATATGTAATATTATTATTATTATTATTATTATTACCAATAGTTATCTTGCAGCTTAATATTATTTATCTGTCTAATAATTTTATTATTGGGCAGAAAATTATAGTAAGCTGCTAGACAATTTCATATCAGGCTGATAATTATTAATTATATATCTAGGTTTTATCTGCTGGGAGTGCCAGCTTTTATCCAAGACTTTGATGACTTGATCTTTGTGATCATCACTGATATGGTTGCCAGCTAGGTGCTCTCTATTGGCTTTTTCAGTATCAGTTTCAGATACCTCGTCGCTGTGATATCACCGATCTTTCAATACACCTCTTAAATCGGTGATTGCTCGTCTTTTTGAAACTTCTTTTGGTAAGTTCTCATATAAGAAGCGGCTTTTTGTTTTTAACATATGAGTAAAGCCATTCCTTTGCCTTTTTATTTCTAAATAAATAAAATTTAAAATTTAAATTTTAAAATTACCAAAATAACAATAAAAATAAAAATAAAAATAATAATAATAATAATAATAATAATAAATTAAATTAAATTAAATTAAATTAATAATAATATAAAATGCCGATATTTATATGTATATATATATAATAGTATTAATAATAAATAATAAGTGAGATATAAAATGCCAATATTTATATATATATGTAATAGTATTAATAATA